TATGAAGTCTCCAAGAAGCATAGTACGGTTTCCGTTGTCCGCAGGGACCTGCGCACCAACCAGATAGTTGCTGTTGCTCAATATCGTCTCCCTTTCCTCGACAAAGAGAAGATTAGGTTTGGGGATAATGGTCCATGGAGACCACTAAAAGAAGTACTTTATCGGAAAAAAGGAGATTACTTTGGCAAGTGAGTCCCTATAACTTTCCTTTGCCTGTGTGAACGGCTCGTTGATACCAACTTGTGCATGCAGTGCCAAATCATTTATGGGGTCTTATGGCTCTGTCTATCGATGGAAAGAGCGTGATGGTACACTCGTAGTAAGTTTAGAGTGGTTGGGATACCTACACCTATGAACCTCATATTTCTCTAGATGGTTTATCACGATAAAGAGAAAGGAGTGGAGCCACTAGTGGCATATAATCGACCTATTGGCTGCAAGAGTGGGTCCTACCTGGAGGTGAACGATAATTCAGTGTTAAATTCACTGGACACCATCGTTGGTAAGTTAAATGTCCCCTCATACCCTTAACAGCCGGTGCTCATGTCGTTCTGTAGCAACTTTCCTGGTTATGGAAAAGAAGAGGCGCAATAGGGAAGAGGAGGATGAAATCCTCGAAGGGGTTGCTGGTGGCTGACACATAGGGCCGTCTTCACGAGCCCTTTGACCTCCCTGAATGGGCTCTTTTTAATTCGCAATCATTTCCTTCCGGCTGTACAAATGATGCTATTTATGATCCCTCGAAGGCCATTTCGAATCCTTTACCTGATAATGCCTTTTTATCAATTTGAATATAAACAAAGCTTTATTTATTAAATATTTTTTATTTTCTCATTCAGTTGGTGACTTCATGGGTGGCAGCTGCTCATACTTGAACTCGACCTTGACGGCGGCATCCTGTAAAATGCAGGGACCTCGCTCAATGGAATGCTACCAACGAGCGTTTCCTATTGGTATGGAATGAATAATGAGAAGTAATGAGGTTTTGCGCAGGTTAGCGTACCCACAGAACCTTCGTGCATGGTACAGTATTCTACTGGGGCACTAACGGTATACAACACGGATCCCGAGAGATAATGAATGCCGAGGTCTGTATTTGTGTGCAATGGGGGCATTGAAACTTGTTCGACGATAAAAGGAACCCACCACCAAATGCTATGTTGCTTCTAGCTCAGGAGCATATGGGGTAAACGTATGTGACCATCATAGTCGACCCTGTATTTTCTTATACCAACAACAAATAATCAGTCATCCAGACCAGTCTAGATCATAGCCCCATTGGTGAACTTTGGTCATATAAAGGCCACGTCGGACCGCCATAGACCCTTAAGCAAACCATCGCTCCTATTGCGTACCGTTGAGAATTTTCCCGATGTCTATTCGTCTTATATTTACCAACAATTCGGTCAAGAACACGACCTTGGGCTGCGATAGCCTTGGGATCCACTACGAAGTCTCCAAGTCCAAGGATGATGGCATCGTTTCTGTCGCGCGCTGGGACTGGCATACCGACCAGAGCGTTACCATTGGTCAATTCCGTCTCCCATTATTCAGCAAGGACCAAATCAAGCTGGCTAGGGATACTAAGTGGAGACCGTTAAAGGATGTGCTGTATAAGAGGAAAGGAGAATGGTGGACACCGTGAGTATTGATAGCCTTCATAGTGTGTCCAGCGCTATTGAGACTATACACGCAATATAGTAGCAGGTCATTCGAGGCTGATAATGGAGCCGTTTATAGATGGAAGCTAAAGAGGGAGGGTATCAATGCGAACCATGTTGTAGGTAGTAGCCCATCCCTTAGCCAAGGATACTGATACCAGTGGTCCACCTAGCTGTACTATGATGACGAAATGGATGGATCCGATCCACTTGTCAAGTATTGTCGGCATTATAGAACCTCGAATGAGCCTTCCTATTTGGAGATACTTGATTCCTCTGTGATGGACTCCTTGGATCTCATTGTTGGTAAGCCTAGCTTTTCCAACCTTTGTTCCTCAATTCTCTCGATTGATTGGAACCCTATTCCTTGTCGTTAACAGTCACATTCCTGATTATGGAGAAGAAGAAACGCGACAGAGACAAGTCTAGTGGTGGTAATTAATTCCTTATACATTGGCATCACTTGGTCTCTTCATTTTCCTGTCCAACCTTCATGCCAAAGTATGCAAGTTCTCGAGATCCACTGTATTCATTGCCAAGACTCTCAAATGCTACACAGAGCTTTGGGAGTGTAGACTATTTTTCACTTCTTTGTAGTATTCAACGACCGTAAATAGTGTATACCAGTGTCTTATGTCTTACCTGGCTCAAGCATACCAAGAACACGCATGATATGAACTTTGATTTCACTGGAGTAATCGAACCAAGCCCACATCTACTCTATCACCCTAATGAATAGCATCGTTTACTTAAATGGTACTGGGGTGGCAGGCAGTCGTGGGTGGCCTGTGACTTGTCCAGGACCCGGACTTTCGTTCTGGACTAGTCGGTCTAGTACAGGCACCTCGCCAACTGGCCATAGAATAGCAATGGTCTTCCATTACACAAAAGAAGGATAGATGCGGGGTAGAATGGGGTTCCGCCGGTCAGTAGACGTCGCCACATGACTTAGAGGTATTTACTGAGCGGAGATCCGCATAGATGATTCAAGAATAGAACGGCGGTAATAGTTCATTCCACGTTAATACCCTGCAATAAGGGCTCCAGAAGGCTCTGGGAGGGGCAGGCCATCAGCGCAGCACTCGAGCTGGGCTGTGTTTCCAGAAAGCGTGACAAACCATAGAGTCTTCTTGCCTAGCCCCATCACATCATGAACTCACCCCGCTTATAAGTGGCACAGAGTAGGAGTACCGAAGACGCAGCTCTTGAAAACAATCCAATCGCTCTATCGTATTCCCCTCAAGTTTTATATACCATGTCCATTCACCTCA